GGCTGCTTAGGAGTTCAGGCAATCACTTGGTCTCACATTGATCCATTGTTTCCAGTCAGTCCATTTGCTCCTCTATGCAGAGAATAGCTGAGGTGTTCCTGGACCACAGATTATCATTATGGGAACTTGAATTTTGTCCCTATATTCCACTTAAATTCCATAGCTCTTGCCACAGGATTATTTTTATTTCTTGCTGAGCCAGAAAGGAAAGGCTATTTTGCTGAAGGTGTCCATGAAATAGTTTGCAGCTGCAAACAGAGGTCTGCACTGTCAGCCTCAAGCAGAAGTCCCATTTCCCCTCCCACACGGTATTTTAAGTTTCTGGAAATACGTTTTAGCAGCTGTTTGGCACAAAGATATGAATTCACAGTTTCATTGTATAGAATCTTGCAGATTGACTTGTCCTGCTTAACAGAGATGAGAGAAGGTCCCTATTCTCTTCCCCACACTGCTGGTTTAATGAAGTTTCAGAGGTGAGGACAGTTCAGGGACTGCAGATTAGCCCACACATAATGGATGAAACTGTTCAGTGGATATTTAAGTGGAGTGCTTAGCACTGAAATAGCTGTCATTTAAATCATCATTCTTAGCTTTCCTCACTAATGGTTGAGTGGATGCATCTCTGAGATTTTAGATAAACCTTCTGTCTGGAGTTTAAAGGTTCAAACTTCAGAATATTCCCTGGCAATAAAAACAATAAATTTGCCAGCAAAACTCTCTTATTCTTCAAAATTTGAGGGGCTGCAACAAAGGGTAGAGAGCAACCCCTTATGTAGTTCAAACTGTGATCTGTGCCTAGGTAAGGCAACAAGAATGAAAAACCAGAGACTGGAAAACCAGAGAGAAAGCAAGTTAAAAACACCAATAATGTCTGCAGTTATATATGTGCTTTTGATTCAGGTGTCTCACTCAGGGCAAGATTTATGTTTGGTTTTGTCTGAACTACTGAGCTTGGAGGTTCAATGCTGTAATATTGGTTAATTCTGCTGTGTAGATGGGAGTAGATGCCAATGCAGCTTGTGAACTAGTTTACTATGGACTGCTGTTTGTAGCAGAGTGCACAGAAGGTGACCATCATAAAATGCACTGTTGAAATTAGTTGGTTGCACAATATGAATTTAATTCCACAGTTTGGAACCATTTGAGCTTTTGCAGCAATCTTTTAGTAGGAAGAGGAGCTGAATGGAGTCTCTTTCCAGGGAGTGACCCTTCCAGGTGAGGAATGAGATGTAATAAAGAAGGTAACATATGGGAGGTTTCCACAGCTGCTGTTTTAAATATAATTAAAATACATCAATCTCAAATGCTTGCATCAGAAATATATGAAGTGAGAAAGTCACAAGCTCTAATAAAGTTTCCAGTTCCATTGTCCTTTCAGTTTCTTTCAGCTCTCACTCCATATTCTGTGAACATTGGCTCAAAAATATCAGTCTACAGCACCTACTGTGCAGAAACAGCAAGTGTAATTGAAAAGGTTAAAGTTTTTACTCTTGGAGTAAATTTTGCTTTGTGTTCAGTGAATCTGACATCTACAGTTTTCAGTTTTGTAGATGGGATATAGAAATTCAAGACTAGTGCATCTGCCTGAGAATATTTTCTTTCTCCAAGCCTAATAGTTCATGATAAGCCTTAATATAGCTGATATACCACTTTGCAGGTCAGATACAGAAAATATTTTGATTCAGGTATCTCTTTCAAGTATCTTGTAAAGCTTTCAAAATTATCCAGAACTGAAGGGCTCTTTCTGTGATGTTTTTATGCCAGAGTGGTACTTCCATCCTGTGAGGCCTTTTCCTTCGCTGGTGTAAGTGGTCTCTTGATTCAGTCACAGCTCTTGGGTATTCAAAGGTGTTTTTCTCATTTGTCTTATACTCAGGCAGAGGATATATAGATTATGTAAATGTTGTTACTGGATCTTCTGGGATGTGCCCATAACAACTTTGCCTGAACATGCTCTCCATATGGATTCAAAGGGAGTTTTATTGTCCTGACATTATGCTGTACCATAAGATACCAGTATAGGTGCATCAGTGTGTGTCTATATAGTGCACATATCTATAAAGCTAATAGTTTCAATTTTGTTATTTTCTCCGAGGTCCAATACAAAAAACAGAATGAGACAGACACCCCTTATATTTCCTAATCTATTATTAATTACAGAGATTTTAATCATATACCTCAGTATACATATTTATACTTACTATACAGATTTACTATAATACTATACATATTTATCAGCAGACTACACAATATTAGAGCTATATGTGAGTTGTTTGAGTAAAATAAACATTTCCTGCAATCATTTTGCAGGGCAGGACTGATTTGACACACTTTCCATTCAGTTACCTCACACATACAAGAAGAAAATTTGGTGGCCACTATTAACAGCTTTACCTACCAACATATATCTTTCCTAGGATATGGATGGATATTAAATCTGGGCCTTAATGTCTAATTAATGTACAGTGACAATTTCAGCAGTTATTACAATGCTGTGTGTCCTGTTTTGCACCATAAATAGCCCATCACTGCACAGGTCTCATCCATGGACAGCAGTTGAAGTAGTTTGAATTTATCTTGCCAAATTAATGTAATATTTCTGTAATAGTGACTTAGTTATATTTTTATGTATCTGCAGTAAACAAATCTGTGGCCACAGTAAATTTTTTACTGTTTATTGGTGTTATACATCCAGAATTATCACATAGAATACCTATCCAGAATATTAAACTAGTTTAAAAGGTGTGTAGAACCAAGCTTATTTTGAAAAATGGGATTTAGAATGTAGAATTATTCAGTTCTAATTATTTATTACCTAAGCCACTGCTATGGTCTCTGAAAGCAGAAAATAACATGCCAAATCTTTGTTTTATAAGAATGTGCTGCCCAGGGAGGTGGTGGGGTCTCCATCCATGGAGGGTGGAGTGTGTGTGGTCTGATTCACAAGGTGGTGTTGGGTCATAGTTTGGACTCAAGGATCTCAAAGCTCTTTTCCAACCCAGTTAATTCTGGGATACTTCTGCAGTGTATGGTTAATGCTTTTCACTGAAAGCTCACAGTGAATTAAGTTAATCAAGATGGGTTCAATGACCTGATAAAATGAAACTTTTAGAAGTAGAGGAATAATCAGAATTGTTTTCTATCAGAACTCATCTTGAGGATTTTTCTCACTATTAAACAATATTTGCAATACCTATTATGTGTCTTTAAGGTCAATGTAGAAGGAAAACTTTAAAGTATTAGTGGCTTTAATTTTAATTAAAATACCTTCCTGTGATCCTGTCATGGCTGTTTTCTTATAATACTACCATGAATAATAGTATTCTATTAATTCATGAGCAATATGGAAAGAGTATTTTAAAATTATAGTGTGACTTGTATTTCACTTATAGAAAACTTTTTACTTCATGCTGTCCATGGTAAACATCACTTGTATAACATGTACCATGGAAAGTGTGTAGAGAAAAGTACACAATACCTTGGGACAGGGAAGGAAACAGCACTTCATAAATTTGGATCATTCACCTTCCAGCTCTCTGTTTTGTAGATTCCTTTATTTTTTCAAGTAATTAAAATTAACAGATTTTTATCATGCTTAAAATATTTTCTAGCAAAACTAACTAAACTAGATACAGCAAATATACTCCAACAAAAATCATTAAAATCCTTGCAACAGTATCCCAAGACACCCCATTCCTCAGGATGTTACCAGTTTGTTGAAATTTTTTTTTGTTGGTTATTTTGCTGCCTGTGCCTGTTATCATGCTTACTGCTCATCTGTTTAGATAAGGCTGGTCTCCTTTTATTAGGAACACAGTCTAGTTTGATTCTTTGTAGATTAAAGCAGATCATTAAGTATAAATCTCTCAGAGTATTCAGTCTCATCATAGGCTATTTTCAAGCATCATTTGCAGGAAGATAAAACATGACAGTGATTTATGCTGTATTTTGAGACTATAAATCTCACTGTGCACTTTCATGTATCTTTGCAGAACAAAGAATTTCTTTATTAATGCTTTCATAGTAATCAACGAAGTATAAAAGCACCATTCTTTTGTTTAAGGTTGTGTTCCTTAGAGTCTTAGAGGTGGATTATGCAGACTGTTGGACTCAGACTTGCAACACTACACCATCAGTGTGTAGACTTTTTAAACCATATAAATCACAATTCAGTTCTGTGCATATTTTATGTTTGAGAGACTGGGGAAAGTTTTGTGATTGGAATCTGGTCTCTAGGCATGATGATAACACAAAGCACTATGTATGCCTGGAAACAGGATGTGGCCATCAAGAAAATGTATAAAAGGGCAGTAAGAAAATAGGATGACACAACTGACAGTAAAGAGGGAGACTTTCAGAGTATTTTGTAACTACTTCTGTGGGAAAAAAAAAACCAAAAAACTATGGGAACTTAGTATAAAGTTGGTTTATTCTACAAACATTATCATTTGTGAATGAGAAAAATTAGACTTTTTTTTATTTCAGAAGTAATTAAATGATATTAAAGTGCTACCTCTGAGTACCTGTAGCTGTGTTGACAATGAAGTTGTGTCATATGAACCTTGAAAACTGAGGGGAATTAGTTTGCCTGGTGTTGCAGATTCTTTAGCTACAGAAGTATTTACTAATTAAGTGCCTCTTCCCCTACATAATAAAATTTTTCTGAATTCATAAGTGCAGAACAGATTTGTCTGAAACATACCATTTTGTACTCCAATGGTTTTAGTTTATTCTTAATTACACTTTAAACATAACTGTAGTTAAAGGTCAGATATTAAACACATTCAAAAAGATCAATGATTCTGTTACACAGAACAAAAGCCACATTTTGTCACGAAGACATTACTGGCTGAAATAATTTTTTTTAACCTACTGTACTTAACCAGAAATGCTTCCTTAGAAAGGGGTTTTCCTGTGAACTACACATCTGTATCTGAAGTTCCACTGGATATGTTTTAAATGCAGTATTAACTGATTTATCTTTTGCATTTTACTTTCAGGTCCGTATTTTTACCTACCTGATTGGAAGAGAAGCTGCATTTGCTGATAACCTGAAGTGGATGGCCTGTGCTAACAAAGGTTGGTTAACCTTCTTCTGTGAAATCCTTGTTTTCAGAATCGTTGAGCTGAACCTTCCTGCACATCTGACCCTTCTACACATATGGAGTAGCTGGCAACTAATCACAGAGGATGAGTTGTTTTCTTTTTCTCCAGAAAATGAAAATACTTAATTATCTTGTACCATATAATTTAAAGAGCAAAACCTCCCAATTTGAGATTTTTTTCCTTAAAATATGTATGAAGCTTTTAAACTATGTGGTCTTAAATTTTTGTTCAGAGAACAAACTGATTTCAAAGCATTTGTTCTCTATCTGTTATTACTCAGAGCGAGTTTGGTTTCTAAGAACATTGGGTACAAGTCCTGCTGAGTTAGGCATGGTATGTAAAACACCAGACATCCTGTCCCTTGAGGAACTGACAGTGTAATTGAAAAAAACTGGTTTCTATCCTTCAAGGAGAAGAGCATTAAAACATTTGAGATGCTGAGATGCTGCAGTAACAGGATTGACTAGTACAAGTAGAAATTATTCAGGAAAAAACTAGCCCCAAACCTCAATTAATCTTCAGATTTTCCTTTTTCTTTCCTCTTGGAAAAAAAAAGTTCTTTTTTTTTTCCATTATGCCACATTACATTATGATGAATTACATCAGGTGCTATCCATTTAGTCATTATTCCTTTAACTACTGTTATGTCCAGCTGATGGAAATTACTCAGTTTGAAGTCTTGTCTTAATCAGCTAATATTACACCATAATTTAGTTTAAATAATAGTATAAGAATCCTTTGAAGCATCTTTTTTGAAGACAATTTAATCAACAAAATCTTTTAACTTTTTAGCCCAGCTCCACAAATTCATAAAGATCTAAGTACAGCAACTCAGAAATTAGGACCAGGCAATGGAGGCAGCCTTAGGAGATCATCTGGTCCACGTCTTCCTTATTCCCACAGGGAAAAGTGGTCACCTTTGTCATTCTTCAGGACTACTTTGTTCTTTACAGAGCCATGTTGCTTTGAGTCAGTCTTACTCATATGAATCAACTAAACAGCTTAATGACTGTTACGTCTATAAATTTATTTCCCTCTCACTTTAATAGTTACAATACCTGCTTTCTGATAGCTTATAATGTAAAAAAAATCTACCTCTAATCATTAATTAAATATGGGGTTTTTTGGCTTTGAAAATCACAATTGGAAACAGCATGTCATGGTCAGACAGTTCAGGTTTAGATTTTTCCTTGCAGTTTTCACTTTTAGCTTGTCCATTTTATTTCAGTGAAATGAGGGATTACAGCACAACAGATGAGGCATGTAGTAAAGCTGGTCTAAAGACTGGCTGAATAGCAGGACTGCAGTTTACTCTTTGTGTGGGTGGGCCAAAATTTGTTGTTGTCACTGAGGGTGAATGACCCTAAAATCAATTTTCCTTGCAGTGATTTTCCCCTTGGAAGCACAGCATAGATGAAGGCTGTTTGCAGGTTTTCCAGCTGACTGGACTGTGCTCAGCAGCCCTTTCCCTCAAAATGGGTCACAGGAGAAATTCACACCACCTTGCAAAACTTCTTTAGCTTCTAAATTCTAATTGTGAAACCTTGAAAAACCCTGAGCATGTTTTTCTGTTACATTTTTCTGTTTAAGTAGGGCGTATCTAGAGGGAGCTTGCCTAATGAAGCAAAACACTAAACCATTTTAAATACATTAAAACATTCAAGATCCCCAAAATTCCTCTCGAAGCAGTTTGTAGAATTTGCAGTGATTTACTCTTCTGTATCATAAGCAAGTGCATATTAAGGAAAACAGGATTTACTAAGGTTCTGAAGTGAACAAAGGTGGAAATTTCCTAGTGCTGGAGTGTGCATGTGCCAGATGTTAGCAGTAATGTCTAGAACCTAGAAATGACAAGCACTGCCTTTCCTTCAGCATCACTTCCAGCAGAAAGCTGTAGAGATAAAACTGAGAGTTAATGCATTACTTGCTAACCAACCAGCTGGGATTAGTTTTCTTTTTCCAGTAAAATTCACTATTACAGTGGCAATTTGACAGCCTTTTTAAACTTATTTGGTCTTTTAAGCATTTTGTCCTGGGTCATCAGTGTGCTTGGCACATTATGAAATGGACAAAGGATTGGATTCATCAGTGCAAAAGAGAGAGAGCGACGTAGAGAAGAATGGTCCATGTGTCGGGGAGCTGATGGTGGCTCCAGCTCAGGCAGAGGACAGATGAGCCCCCGGGCAGGTTGTGGCCCAGCTGGAGCAGTTTATGGAGCACTGTATCAGCAGGGCAGAGCTCAGTGCAGAAGCCCCCGTGACACCCATTCCCATTATCAGCATGACGCCAGTCCCTCCTGCATGGGCGCTCTGGGGTGGCAGGCAGCCAGTCCCCGACCTGCTCACCTGCTCCAGGGCCTGTGGGGAAAGGGGGATGAATGAAACATGAAACAATGAATTCACTCCTTAGTCCTTACCCGGAGGATTTTTTAATGCTGCTATTGTATTAGTTGCGAGAGCATTGCATCTCTTTTGCACAGCGCCCAGGAGAGGTAAAGTACTGCGCTCCATGTAGAAATCAGCTGGAGGCATTTTGAAAAGTTATCAGTCTAATGGTGGACATTTTAGAGAAAAACAAGCCAAACGTGCAGGCACTGTGTAATGGGGAAAGGCAGCCCACATGTAGAGCATAAGTGTCTGTCTTTTACCACATTATTATACATCTCTCATGCTTGTCATTACCACATCTTACCCATTTCCTTCGTGAGTTTTTTTCCTGCTGGGGAGGAAAAAAAAGGTAGTGCTGACTGTGAGGGGGCTCTGAGGTGGCACAATTCACACGCCAGGGAGCTGAGGAGCAGGTGCTGGGATGCAAAAACTGGAGCAGGGGTTTGCTGCTGCTGCCCTGGCCTCAGCAGCTGCGCACAAAGGCTTCAGAGCAAGTCTTTATCTGGTGATTAAACCTGGCTATAGGAACAGTAAGGGTTTTAATTCTGTGGAGTATCTGGTCTCTAGGTAAGAGATGTAAACTTAGCAGTGTAGGAAGATAATTCTTATGAGTTACATATAGCTAGAAACCAATAAATTGTCAAAAAACCTAAATTTTAACTAAAAATAATCAAAATCATGTTACCTAATGCTGTGTCTAGCTATAATATAGTCACTTTTGATAGGATTTTCCTAGGAGGAGAAGATTGACAAGTATTTTCACTTGTCTTTGAAATGGTTATTTCTTTACTAAGTTCATACAAAATTAATTTTGACTTATTGTCTCAGTCTTAGGAAATTAGGCTAAAACCTGTTTTCTCTATTGTGCGGTTTGGACATATGATTTGCAATATTGCAACAAGGAATGAATCCTTTGTCTGTAACGTACTGCCTGGGATATGGCAACATTCTCAGAAATACTGCAAAGAGAAATACCAAAAGTACTGCTCATCCCTACTTACAGAGAAGTGCCCAAATAGGTGTCTGTGCTCACATGGGCTGTACCTGCTCCACAGGGGAGGTACATTTTCTTCTAAAAGAACAAAATGCAGCAGTACCAGTGTCTTGTAACACGTATAAACCTGAATGGCACAATACTGAGGTGCTTCTTGTTGGGTTCTGTTTTCTGTTTATTTTTTCTTTTTGGTTTGAGTAATCTAGGTACATTTTTTTGCTTAAAATTGTGACATAAAAACATTTGGGGACACAATCAGAAAGGATGCTCATTTTACAGCAATGAATTCTTTATCTCAGAGGTAATTTACAGCATGTAATTAAAAGATTTTCCAGGCATACGTATCCAGGAGCTTCTTAAATGAGTCTTTAAGGTTTTATTTCAGTGAAGTATGATAATAAAGAGTTAATGCTTGTGATTCTAAAGTATATGGGCAATAAAATACTACTTTAGAGGTCTTTTTTATCACCTTATATACAATACAAACTTTTTCAAGTACTTAATCTCCTCTGACTTTTCAGACAATAATATCACTTTATGTATATGCAAATTATATATATCACATAATATGCTCATGTAGATTAAGTATCTGAGGGCAGTGGTGATCATATTGTTCACTGGACACCACTCAGTGCCAAGAGATCTCTGCTTAAAATGTAATTCTGAAAAGAGGCATATCAAAATTCAGTCCCTCTGGACTGCTCTGGGAAAATGTAGGTCCTGCCTGTAAAATGAGGGATCCACACAGTTGTGAAGTATTTTGGATCCCTGATTAAAAGCCTTATGAACCACAGTGTGTACATGTACATGTGTTTATAGACAATTTATGAGGTTCTCTATGTGAATAGTTGGCCAATAAACATATTTTGACTATTGAAATTTTCACCAAATTAAAAGGACCAAATACTGAAGTGTTGCTCCTTACTCACACTACAGAGAAAGCTGTTCTTTGAGATCCCAAAATTGGAGCAGGCAGCATTTCATGAAGAGTAACATATGCATTGCTTTTTCTCATGAGTCTTCCACTGATTCAAGAAAGTACACTATATTATGGGATTTTTTTAACCATAAACATAGGATTCTGCTTTCTCAAGTACAGGTTTTCTAATTAAACTTGTGTCAGTTGTTTTACTCTGTGGCTGAAAAAGCTCTTAGAACCTTAAGACAAAAAAAATAACCCTGTTCAGAAGCAAGAAATAAGCCTTAATATTATGTGTAGCAGTCATTTAACACCCTTACAGAATATTGGACTTAATATAGGAAAAAAATAAAATAAATAAATAAAATTCCTTAAACAGAATATTGAATATTTTAACAGTATGAATACTATACTATGTGTAAGAATGACATACTAGGAATATTTGAGATCATACTATAATCAAGTTTAAAAAAACATAAACAATGCATCACTTCTCCTTTTTATTATCAAGTTGAAGATATCCATTAGGATACTGCTAAGACTTGTTTCATTTTATAGATATCTACTAAAATGTATGTTCTTTCACTGTGCCTTAATTCACACACAGATAAAATTCACGCAGAAACATCCATTTTGTACCATTTGAATTATGGGTTGATGTATTGATTTGCAAAGTTCTAGATTCAGACAGACCATCTTTACTGCCTTGCCAAAAATGCCCCCCTCTACAAAAACACAGCTCAGAAGTTCTTTGTGCAGCTTCCATGTTTTCTGCTGCAGCTTAATAAAGCTTAAATATTGGAGCTCCACAGAAGCTGTGATCTTGCCAAATGATTAAAATTGTAGTGAAGCCTCTTTCATGTTGGTCTTTTCTCATTAACGGAAAGTAAATTAAGGCAAGTGATGCATTTAAATAAGGCCTGATGAAATTTTAGTCTTGAAATGTGTCAGTCCTTCATCACTATTGCATGATGTGGGCTCCAGATGCCAAGGCTGTGGTGTGTAAAGATACCTGACATCTGAGCACTGAAAAGGGAGTGGTGACAGCTCACATATCTGGGGCCTCTGCTGTTCTCAGTGCTGTCAGGTTGGAAGAGATGCTTTAAAGCATTAGCAAGGCTGTGATCACCTAATCAAACAATTCTAGTCGTAGCCTACATTTTCTGTGGCCTGCCATATCTGTAAATGACATGTTGCTTTTTTAATTTCAGTCACACTCTGTAGGGCTTGATGTGTCAGAGCACATGCAGTGACCATTCTGTTACTGTAGTTCTGTCCCATCATGTTTCTTGAAATGGGAAGAAGTGGGTGACATATAGGTGGGCAAAGATAATGCCGGTTCTAAACTTTAAAGCAAACAGAATTAAAAGGAAAAAGCCCAAACCATTAAACAAAAAAGTGATCTTGAGTAAAAATTTAGTACAGACAGTGCAGTGGTTCATAGCAGTGTTGGAAACCCTGGCCTTGAGGGCTGGCCAAAGGTTTCACAGACATCTGTTTTCACCAATTGTTACTGTTTGAGGTGGCTTCTGATGAAACATTCCTCTTTGGTATCTTCTCTTTAGAAACAAGAAAAAAACATGACAGATGTAATCCACATCATACTTCTTCTTGAAAACTTATTTTATTTGTCCTCTCTGGTTTTTAACTTGGAATGGTGTGTTTTCACAGGGTTTTTTACTCAGATCTCTACCCTGGCTGATGTGCAGGAGAACGTTATGGAATATCTCCATGTTCTCAGCCGACCAAAGGTCATTGACCAGGAGCACGATGTCGTGTGGACCGAAGCATACATTGACAGCACTGTAAGTCTGCATGCAAGGCAAAAATACTGTGATAGAAACACCCACTATGAATCTGCTTTCTGTTGCTGGAATGTGCTAACTCAATGTAAAAATTGGGACTTGATATCCTTATGCTACAAATAAATAATTCAATATTAGTGAACTTTAGCCGATGTTTAAACATTGTAATTACATAGAACATTCTGAAACAAATATAAGTTGCAAAATAATTGTGAAGTTTATGATGTCCAAACCTACATTTCTTATATTAATCAAAATTGGGCATTGAACAGATACTGATTTATTGAGTGAACATTTTTTCTACATGTTTTAGAAAATCTCAGTGAGTATGTGGGTATAAAGACACAGACTGACAAGAATCAATAGTTTCAGTGTAAAAAGACAGGTCAACATCCAAGGGTCAACTGTGATATCTTGGGGAAGAATATTGAGAAGATTCTGCCTTTTGAAGTGTACTGAATGGGTGGTATGTTAAAATAATTGTCATAATTATCTAATTTTAACTTGACATCCCTGTGAAATATTAGAGTTAAGGCACAACTTTCTATTATGAAGTGACTGAACTCTTGTGGTACTTCTGTAACACGTGTGGTAAATCATCAGATTTGCAGGTAAAGGTTGTTCATTTTCATGGATTGGTCTGAAATAGTTTTATGTATTTTCTTTTGATTAATATATTTCATTTGCTCCAATTAAAATATTTTGGTTAGTATATTATCTATAGAACAGGAGTCTGTACAAATGTCTATTATTTAGTACAGGAGATGCCAAATAGTCAATATAATAGATAGAAGATAATTTTACTCATGACACAGATGTTTCTTTCTTTCAATTTTTAATTTTTACGTGGTAGGTAAGGTGGGAGAATCTCGTCAGCGTCACTCTGATATTTGGTACCTTTTGTTTGTTTTGAGTCTGTGCTGCTTCCAGATGGTTCAGTCTTAAATCTATATAAAACTACCCTGGAAATAGACTTTTATTTAATTTTCATAATTGTTTAGGCCTTTTCTATTCTTCATTTGTGACCACAGGCAATGAAAAATAAGTACTTAAACTGGAGTTATAAAGGAGAAACAAAAAGTTAATTGCTTTAGAAGGAATTAGCTTATGTCTGTTTCCTTTTTAAAAATAATGTATTAATCCAGTCTCCCCTTTGGTCTCTTTCTTTTATTGAACCATAAAATGAGATTAACAGAAAATATGTTTTATTACTATGCCTTCTGGGCATCCCACAGAATGGGGAGATGACCAGGAGAATTTTGTTCTCATTCACTATATTTTTTTTAAACTCTTGAAATAATCAGTTTGTAAATGTTCAAGAGAGTTTGTGTGTTTGCTAGAGAGAGTAGCAGGAAGACACTCAGGTAAGTGGTCTCTTGGTGCAACTCTCTTTGCCTATGAATCATTCATTAAAAGTATTGTAAAGAAAAACTTCCTCCTTTCTCAATACCAGGTCATCCCCTCTACCCACCAACGAGGTGCAAATTGCTGTCTCAGAATTGATTTGACACTTTACTCTTGCTTTTACCTGTTAATCTGTATTTCCTCGATCTTTGCGGGGAGAAAAATACTCATAAAAATTAGTCTAACTTTCAGGGATTCTCCTGTAGGTTATGGAAAAGCTAAGAGAAATTAACAACTTAATGCTGTGTGAAATGTTAAGTGAATATAGCAGAAGTGAGTAAAAGCAAGTGAATTTAAGAACACTGGAGGGAGCGTAGAGAGGGAATCTTGAGAAAACCGGAAAAATAAAGACAATGGAGCTGGTTACAATCTTGAATAATAGAACTGCTTAAATTCACACAAAAGTTCTTTTGATGCAGTCAAAATACTTCCAGGTTCTTCTCTTCATCTCCTCTTGTTTTCCTACTCTCTTAACTAAATTTACAATAATTGTAAGTTTACAATAATTCACACATCTAAATTGTGTTCACACACACATATAAATATGCATGCCTGCACTCATGTACATACATGCATACATAAATTTTAAGTGCATGAAAGCTCCATTCAGGACTCTAATGGGTTGGATTCTGTAAGTGAAGATTGAATAATAAAATGCCATTATCTGCTTACTTGCAAACTGCCTTTTTCCTCCCTCCTCCATTATTCTTCCCACAAAAAAAAAAAAAAAAAAACCAAAAAAACACCCCAAAACAAAACAAAAAACCCCCAAAATCACAAAAATATCCAACCAACCAAACAAAACTCCTAACCAAACAGGCAAAGGAACGGGTTAAATTGGAATATATAATACAAAATATACCATAAAAACCTTGAAAATAGAAATTAAGAGAACCTTTTACCAAAGCAGGCTTCCTTCTGCCTCAGCTAAAGCTGCCTGAGTGCTATTTTCAGAGACAGATTCCCTGGCCATCTCTAGTGCTTTGACATTGGAAGTGCTGTTAAAATAATCCTCTCCATCCCATAACTTGTTGATTTTCACAGACAGTTTGTGTGGCTGCTGTTTGGACCTTTCCCAGTTAAAAACATTAGTGTATCTCCAGACAGCTCAAATGTTCTTATCAGCCAGCAGTGTGTGAACAGCCAGGGCTGGATTCCCAGGGCCACATTTATGTGGCTGTACTCAGTGTCACTGTGCCCTAACAGCCTGGAACACACTTCCCCCAAACAGCAGAGCTCACTGGCCAGCTGTGCTGCTTCTGAGCAAACATTAGGCTGTAACATTCTAGGATCCAGACAGAAAGAAGCTGGACAGTAAAATTATCTTAGGATAGAAAATACTTCCCCTGTCACCCTGTTCTCATCCAGTATTTGTGCAGTGCAAAGGCATCTGTGAAAGCCAGAAGTGTTTGATACCATTTAGGAATATTCCCAGAAGAGTTTTACTGTGTTTGTTCACCTTTCCTGTTAGAGGATGTCTGCCAAATCTTCATACAGCTGCCTCTTCAGCGTGGCTTTGGCATTCCTGAGGAGCTTCAGACACTATTGGAAAAAATATGACCTTTATAGAAGTGGGAATCTCTGGCAAGGTGTCATATGCAGAAAAGCATGACATGGAACAACCTCTTTGTGTGCCAGAGCTGTGTTCTTTGGCACTGTCAGGATTGCTGGCTGATTAAAGTAGCTGAGACAAGGCCTCTCTGATGATTCCATGCTTCCCTTTTTCCTGTCCCTGGACTTTTTTCTCTCCCCAGTGTTTCCTATCTTTCTGAAGAGGTAACGCGATAGCTTCTCTGGTCATTTTTAGTTGCCCTTCATCAGAAAATTAGTTGTGTTTATTTCCTTTAAACTCAGGATTTCATGTTGGAAATATGATTATCATTGTGTAAAGCCTCATTTCTTTTAAAACCAGGACTTTTGACATAGGAGTGATACAATTTTAGGAAGTGTTACTGGCTCTTGGCGAACAACAGATTTCTGAAAAAAATTGATTTTAGGTCTGTCAGCTGAACTGGTTGTACTTGGTTTTGGTACTCACCTGGGAAGCAGTGTTTAGAGGATTGTCTTGGGCTAATTCTAAAATCAGCTTCAGAATAGTTGGAAATGCTAGTCTTGTAATGGCCCAGTAGCTGAAGTGCTGCCAATACCTTCAGGCTAAAATGTTGGAATTGAAGGATATGATATGTAGCAGCCAGCCTCCTGTCTTGTGAGTCCTCTGATTCCAAATTCCACACCTTTCCTTAGACTTGTTCTCTTTTCCCTTTATACTTCTCTACTCAGCAGTTTGACACACATTACAAAGTGGCTGAGCTTTGCTGGATCTATGGAATTCTGTAAGAAAGGGTCTTTGGGCTGTCAAGAGTGAGGGATCAGGCGGTAGATTCTTAATTGTGGAGTTTCATAGGAGAAGAAATTGTCTTTCTGCCTGTTCCTGTTCAGCTGTACAGCCCAGAGACGCTGTAGGAAATAGCTCCAAAGGTTGCAGATGGGATACATGGGACCTAGACAGTGAGGTCTGGACATCACTCCAACAGAACAGTCTCAGCACAACTTTTCTTTTCTGCTCAAAAAACAGGTCACAGTCGAATCTGATATCAATCCTTCAGCATTGCTAAGGCCCACAAGCATGTCATGGTCCAGAAAATAAAATAATTTAATAAATGCTTTTAAAAAAGAAGATTTCTAAGGGATAGCTTTTATATGTAAGCAGAAAGGAATTCTAAAACTATCACAGTATTTCAGGGAGGCAACATTTTAAAGTAGTCAATGACTTTTAAGTATGCATCTAAAGCAAGTCCCTAAAAGTGAATATTTTGGAAGGAAAAGGAATATGGGCTGGGCATTAAAACAGTCAAGTGCAGCAATACATAGAGGTCATCAACAAAGGACCTATTTGGACCTTTGTTAACGCTTCCTGCTGGAATTTGTTCCTCATAAGTGTACCTGAATATATCCTCTGGATTTAATGTACCTTTGAGTTCATCTTCAGGCTGTTGGTCTCCAGCTGGGAGCAGATTCAGGCAAACCATTCCCACATTGTCTCTGTTCAGCTTCCAATCAGAGTTCTTTGCTTAAAAAGTGCAAATTAGAGTTTCACTGAATATTTTGAGTTGACTGTCTGATGTTGCTGATGCTGCAGAATTTAAGAGTTCATTTAAAGCAGCAATGTTCTGAGTCATTGCAGATCAAGGTTCATCATAATATAAATGGTGAGTGCTTTTGCTCTTTGTAATTTCCTTCTGTGTCAGAGTACCATGTGTTGATTCTTCATTTGCATTATCCCCACATTATCACAGACATTATATTATGGCTTTTAGTTCAATTCTAGTTCAGTTCTACAGTTGCTATTGCATATATGTGTATTTGTAAATATAAATATATTTTCCTAATTTCTTTCTTTTTTTGGAGGTAATGTTTGAAAGTATTTCCTGATCAAGAGACTGATGCTGTCCTAGGAAGGCAACCAAGAACCTTATTTCTCCTTATGGGGCAGTAAATTGAGATATCTCCACAGAAGAAAAGCCTTTAATAACCATTTCTAAAATGCTTACGATGGGTATTATAATTACATTATTATGTATATGATAAAAAATTAA